AGTGCCAGGACAGTCTCCAAAGCTACCCAGAGAAACCCTGTCTCGAAAAAAAAGTTATGTGAAATAGGTATATAAAGAAAGCAATCACCAAAGACGCATCACAGATAAAGTAATGTCAAAGCTGAGGAGACAGTCTGGAGATTACAGAGCTTGTGCACAGGTGAGCCTACACATATGAAAAACATCGATACACATATCACATCACATCTCACACAAAAAATGGAAAAGTGTTTTTTTAAAGGTTTTACTATATGTACTTTAAATTAGAAAATTAGGTATAAATGATGGGGAATGATCTTCTGTATATATGTTTCTTTTAATGGGTGATGAATAAAACAATATCTTCCACTGTAAGATAAGACCACGTGGAAATACTTAGATTAATAGAAATTGGTTAGTGATTAAGACAGAGCTAGCCAATAAGGAACCCTAGTTATTGGCCAACAGTATTATAATGAATATAAGTCTCTGAGTGTTCATTTGGGGCTGATGCGGCTGTGGGACTAGGCTGTCGAGAAAAACTACTCTTAACATAGTGTGTGTGTGTGTGTGTGTGTGTGTGTGTGTGTGTGTGTATCCCCATGAGTGCAAGTACCAGTGGAGGCCAGAAGAAGGCACCGGATCCTCTGGAGCTGGAGTTAGAGGGGGTTGTGAGTGGCCTGATCTGGGTGCTGGGAATGGAACTCTGTAGGAACAGTGCTTGTTCTTAACCACTGAGACTTCTCTCCAGTCCCTAGATGTTTTACTTTAAAGCACTTCTCTCATGAAAGCTCACCTTTTATTGGAGGCAGAAGGTCACACACTTGAGAGTTTTTACCAGGATGTCTGATCCTTCAGCTTTTCAGGGTTGATTAATAATTTGACTGTCAAACCTGAGAATGCTATCTCATGTATAGTACACATGGTAGAAGCATTAGGACCATATCACAAAGTTCTGGAAATTCTTTCGAAACCCAAATTCATCTATTTTTTTAATGAAATCCAGTGATTTTTAAAATCAAACATCCTAACAATTCAATCCAAAGATATACTGATTCATGCCGAGGAGCAACGGCCAGAAACCAATCAATGCTGGTTTCCCACAATTCAGTCACCGTGTTTGAAAGAGAGCAAACGACTGTGTGTACAGTCCATGCTGCAGTTCCTAAGGTAGAGCGGTCAAAGGCCCCGGCCTGGACACGTTAGGTGTGTTGTGTGTGCTGTGTGTTCAGAGCCAAGGCTGTGGGGAAGCCATGAGATGCAACATGGGGGCGCTGCCAGAAGCATCTTGAAGTCTTACATGTTTGATTTTGGATCCCTTTTTAAGCCTTTGCCCTTCAGAAACCTCTTACTGATGCCTGTGGTTTCTTTTGTGACCTCACGTTCAGTTAGGCTGTGACCCCGAGTTTAGGCAGCTAGGATCAGGGCTGGAGCAATGCCTCGGTGAGTGAGAATGATGATGGCCGTACAAGTGTGAGGACCCCTTCCCTCCTGCTGTGTCCCAACGTGGTGTCACTTGACTTTCACGTGATACTGTGAACCAAGATCCACCCACCCCAGAGGGGCCATGGAATAGCAACCAGGTCATGTGCTGATGACCCTGAGTCCGTGTCCTTCTGGAGGGAGGCAGAGGTTAACTTTAGGGTTGCAGTGGCACCCAAGGACTGCAGCACAATGATGCATTCATGCTCAGCTGTGTGTAGCTCATTGCTTCCCAGGGGACGATGGGCTGAGCTTGGTTGCAGATGCTCTCAGTACGGCATGTCCCCCTCACAGCCTTGCCACTCACCGACTGGCTCACCCCAGGTAAACCACTTGCTTTCTCGGAGTCTTCTAGACTTTATGTGTCAAGTAGAGTCGATACCAACAGTTTCTCAAAGGTTTGGATAAGGGAACTCGGGCAAAGCACTCAGAATAGCTTATAAGGATGTGGACATTAACTGGAGCTCACTACTTCTGAAGCGGATGCTGGGACCAGGAATTAGCTGCAGGGCTAATTAACTGTCCGGGCACAGTTGTCTGGACATCTCCTTAGGGATAAAGGAAGAATGTGCTCTTGTTTCTTCTTTCCAAGACACATTGTCATAGCCCGAGTTCCCCTGGAATCATGGGTTGCTTCCTGGGAGCCATAGTACCCCAATGTGAAGGGTTGGGGTACCAGGTCTAGATTAGGGTGTCCGTTTTTATTCTCAAGTGCATCTTTTGAAGTCTGATGGTGCCTCCACATGTTGCCCTGACAACCAGCACCCAACAAGAATTGGCTGGGGTCACTTTAAAGAAAGGTAGCGAGGAGACATGACATTGTGTGTGGGGGAGGGGGATGGGTCTGCTCAGGGACCCTTAGGGCTCAAGGTGGCTGCATCTGTGAACATCTCCCACAAGACAGGGTCTTTGACTAGCAATGGTGATGTTGGTTGTGCTCTCCTACTGTCTCTACTTGGGCAACGATCTGAGGGTCAGAGTTACACAAGTGGGAGGGTGGAAGGGATTCCATCTCTCACTGCCAGGCCGGCTGGGGATCCCACAGAACAAGCTGTGTAGAGGGAGGAGACTAGAGGATGCTACACTCCATCTTGCTTTCAGCAAAAGGAAGTCAAAGGTCCAAGAATATCCCTGGAGGACTAGATGAAGAATGAGTCCATATGGAGAACCAGGGGCGGGTAACATTGGGCAAGCCCAAGGCTGGCTTGGGGGTCTGCTGGGTTGGGGCACACCTCCTCTTTGCACCACTCAGTGTACCTGTCACCTGGAGTCTGTCAGTGCTAAGCACAATCTCTTTCACGTGGAGCCCACAGCGCCCCCTGCTGGTGTGCACTGTTGCTCTCAACCTTGCTCACTTGCTTGCCTTGGCAAGACATCTCCAGACTGGAAGACACTGGTGAGCAGGATCACAGACACACCTCTGATTTTCAAAAGGACGAAGATGGGGGCAGGAGAAGTTAGGCAGTAGTGGCAGGCAGGTGCCTCAAGTTTTTTCCCTAGACGGATATTGGAAACTGGGCTGGCAGAGGATTCAAGAACATGTATGGTATGAGAAAAAACGGTTCATCTTCGTGGTCAGCTTGTCTGGATTTGGGGTCACCTGGGAGACACACCTCTGGGTGTGCCTGTGAGGATGTGCCTAGAGGGGTGTGAATGAGGAGGGAAGATCCAGCCTGGATGTGGGCAGCCCTGATGGGGGATGTCCTTCTGTATGTACGTTTATCTTATTGGTTGATAAATAAAACACTGTTTGGCCAATGAGGCATGAAGATAGGCGGGATGAGGGGACGAGGAGAATTTTGGGAAAGGTAGGCAGAGAGGCCGGCCAGAGATGGGATGCACCAGTCATTCTCCAGTAAGATAGGGCCATGTAGAAAAACATAGATTAGTAGTTATGGGTTAATAATTAAGACAGAGCTAGGCAATAAGAAGCCCCAGTCATCAGCCAACAGTTTTATAACTGATATAGTGTTTATTTGGGGCCAAACAGCTTGGGGAAGCTCCAGCCACACAGCCCCATCCCGTGGGCTGGAGTCTGGGACTAAGTGAGTTGAGCAGCGGCTTCACCTCTCTTTGCTTCCTGACTGCAGAGGAAGTGTGACTGCAGCCCTGCCTTCCCCACTGTGCTGGACGGCACCCTCAAGCTAGGAGCTGAAACCAACCCTCCCTTCCTTAGGTTGGTTTCACCAGATCTTTGGCTGTGGTTACAAGGCGGATAGGGATTGCTTGGGAGTCTCAGAGAAGAAAGAGGCCACCTATGAGCCGTGCAATGTCCCTGTTCACTGCCAGGGCTTGTATCATGGGCAGGTCAGGAGGGGAAGTCAAGGTCAGGTGCTCTGCTCTAGGAATCATGACTAAGCACATTTGATTTGCTAATTGGCCCATGTGAGGCATTCATCCCTGGCAGGGGAGCACCCGAGGCTATGCGGATGCCGTTAGTTATGCTGTGTTGACCTCCAACTCTGCACATCAGACATGCGCTTGTGGGTCTGCCGAAGGTGGGGCAGGGGCTGGGGCTCTCAGTGAGAGGTGTGCATGAAGAGGACAGAACCCGGAAGTGTGAGTTCAGATCCCTCTTGGGTCCCTCAGGGAGGCTGTGTGCAGCCTCCATCACCTCTCAGTAAAGACAGACACCAAAGTGTGAAGATAAAAGGTGAGGGCTGGCCAGGGAGACAGTTCAGCGGGTCACCTGCTGCTAAGCCTGACCCAGCCAGCTCCATTCCCTGGGTTTACAAGGTGGGAGGAGGGGCCACACTCTTATCCTCTCTGTTCCACAGGCACCTGTGTGAGGTGTGCCCACCCAACCCTACTGAATACAGGTTTAAAAAATAATTAACAAGAAAATGAAAGATGAGCTAACTTAATCAGGAGAATGTCTCGGGGCTCCAAGTGCCATCTCATGCTGGCTGCCCCTCCCCGATTGAACGCCCCCTCCCCCAGGATTGGAAAGGGATAGATACCCAGTTTGGGGAGATACCCATGCACATGTGGTCACATGTGGTCAAGGGCTTGCATGGTCAGAGCAGATTCTAGAAGTAGGTAGAATGTTCTAGCACAACAGTTCCTCAACTGGAAGGGGCATTAGTGTTGCCTGGCAGTTCTATTTCATAAGTTTTGATTTAGTGGCACTATAGTGGGGCCTAGGAGGTGACATTTACATAAGGGTCTCGAAGGGGGAGTGGATGTTGCTGGTGGGGAGCATCACAGAACCACAGTTCTTGGCGACTGTGACTCTTAACACCCCTGTGGAGATCATAAAGGTGCAAAGGAGTACAGAAAAGCAGATACCAGAACTATAGACAGCCGCCACAGACTTGGGTTCGAATCTTGCCACCGCCCTGACCAAGGGTCTACCTAGCAGAGTTCCCCAGGAGCCACGCCCCGGGTCCTGTAGGCTAATGTTGGTACCGGGTCCCCTTCTGGGATCCAAGGCTGGGCTTCTCTTGCTTCAGCACCAGGTCCGTGGCCGCGCCTCTCCACTGGCCAGCGTTGCTATGGCAGCGCTGCAGGCAGGGATGCTGAGGCTGAAGCGTGCACTAGCCCCTTTGTGAGGCGCGGGGGAGATGCACACCCATGTCTCGCTACCCCGAGCCCCGGACCGCATGCTGGGTGCTTGTGAGGGGCGCCCCCACCCGCATTCCCGAGGCCGGGTGCGGCATCTCCGCCTGCCAGCCGGTCCTGCATTAAAATTTCATGGGCGCTGCAGTACATGCGAAGACGACGCCGGCTGCGCTGGGGGGCCGTAGGGAGGGAGGCTGCGGACCAGTGCGGGGAGGAGTTTACGAGGGGAGGCGCTTGCAGGGGCTCCCCCAGTTATGTTGAGAGCTGGGCACAAAGAGCCCTCTGCACTCTAACCGCAGGAGCTAGGAGCTGAGGTAAGCCAGAGTCGCCATTCCCGCTCCCGGCAGGGCGCACCTGATTCTCGGGAAGGCGACGGGGGTCTCACAGTCCCAGGGCAGTGGTGGCCCGTGCTGGGTGGGTGATGGGACCCCCAACCCGAAATGGCCAGACGAGGCTCCGGTGAATGGGCCATGCGGATGGGGGGGGGTGCTCTGGGGTCTCGTAGTCATGGTCTGAGGGGGAACAAAGACCCCTCCCTTCCCCCACAGCTACAAGGGCGTGGGTACCCGAGTACACACCAACCCACAAGGTTAGCAGGTAACTGTCCAGGCCGGGGACTGCGACCCGGAGGTCTCAGCATGGAGGGTGGGGTAGCGGGTGGTGTCCCTGACTCTCCTTCCCTTCCTTCACACCCAGCCCCTACCCTTCCTCCACTTCTGGGACTCATCCCAGACCTGGGGCGTCCAGTGCATCTTCAAACCGAATGCTTCTCCGCACCCTCCTTGCGACATCGCTCGGGATGATGATTGCACATCCCCGGGGAGCCACCGCTTTGGCACAACAGCCCCACGAGGTGGTAAGAACCCATTTTAGAGATGAGGAAAAGGAAGTCCGGAGAGGGGTAGCGGCCCGTTTAAGATCACACAGTCAATGATTTTTGAGTCCAGACACGATGGACTCTGAAGCCCACGTGGCATCTCTTAAACGAGGTCCGGGGTGACCCCAGTAGCTTCTTGGCTCCCCAACCCTCCTAGGGTCTGAGACATTCTCTGAAGTGGCTGGGCATTTGAGAGGGAAAGGTCCCTCATCCCGGGCACGAGCGAGATTATTTCTTGGACAGAGGGATTCCGGGAACCACTCTCGTCCCAGGCTCCCAGCACAGGCCGCCAGGGATTGCTGGCGCACACACCCCACTGCGGAGCGGAGTTGCGCCAGGAAAACGCCCCCACCTGCTGGAGGGAGGGGGCGCGGGGAGCGAGCGCAGAGGGAGAACTTGCTGGAAGCAGGTTTGTTTTTCTTCGTGCCGAGCTGGGCGCAGTCTGGCTGCCTCCTCAGAGCACTCTTCCCAGGAGAGCCTCGGGCAGGGATGAGTAACCCCACAATCCCGGGGCTCCCCGCAAGTGAGCTGATGTCCCGCCATGTGGCCCCGCGCTGCGTCAGCACATCTGGGGGCCAGGCTGCATGTCTGGAGGTGCTCAAAATGTCTTCTGCTCCCAGAAGGGGGTCCGCTGGGGTCCAAACACTGCCCCCCCCCGGCAACCAAGCAGCAGTCGCTTGGCAAACAGGTTCCTGAGACCACTCCTTTTGCTCCCTGTTTTGGGAGGACACTGAACTCACCCCACCCCCATTTGGTTGATTTTCTATTGAAAGACATTCTATGTTAGCAACTTTATCTCCTGCTCGGTCCCACATTGTGTCCTTTCTTATCCTTTGCGGTTGAGATTGGTTCTGAAGTCTGCCCTACGCTGACCTTGCCGAATATTTAACCCATCTCCTCACCCCATAAGAGCAAGGGAGTGCTGGGGCGGGGAGGAGGACACATCTTATATCTTCAGGGCTCTAAAAAAAGTTCCCAGAATCTTTTTGAGCATGGTGAAGACACTTCTCTTACCTTGTGTAGAAAATGAGCATTGACCAGGCACCGCCCCTGCAGTCTCTGAGCTTGGTGGCCAGAGGCAGGAGGATGCCAAGTTGGAGAATAGGCTAGGTTACAACATGAGTTTGAGTCAGTCAGGGTTAGTGGCATCCTGTGTAAGAAAAAAAAAAAACGACAGACAGAGAGAGAGAGAGGGAAAGGGAGGGAGAGAGGGAGGGATAGAAGAGAGGGAGAGAAAGGAGAAAGACCATGTAAAAGGTTGACAGTTTACCCTTGCCATCTCAACACTTGAGGGGATGAGGCAGGAGGATCAACCTCCCTACCCCCCCCCCCCTCCATGACCTGGAACTCATAGAGGTCCCCCTGCCTCCTAGCGCTGGGATTAAAGGAGTGCTCTTGTGCAAACATACCTGGATAAGGACCCTAAATTTAAGGTCAATCTGGGTTAAATCACAACACTCTGCCTTAATTTATTATTTTTTTTAAAAATTTGCAATTTTGGAGCATTTTTCTTTAAATCTACCTCCCTAGATTTAATAAAGCAAACAAGAATTGTTAAGCTTCAGAACAAACATAAGAGAAAACTCCATTTTCACTGAAACTCGCCTCACAAAGCGGTGGGAATCACCTCAGAATCAGAACCAGGGCTTCAGGAGAAGCCTGCTTGGCACACAGCTGCTCTCCCTTCTTCTAACTGCCCTCCCCCCATTGGTCCATCTTGTAATAGATTGTTTTCCCCAGGCTCAGTTCACAGAACCCCCAAGTTTACTCACTGGAGTTGTGGAAAGAGAAAGAGCAGAGGTCTGTGTGAGAATACCTTCCCACCTGTGTCCGACTTAGGAAGGAGTTTTCCAGCCTCAGTCTCTTCAGCTACAGTGTGGGGGTCACAGTCTTGGGTGTGGGGACTACTACCAGTGAATCAGGTGCCCATACTGAGGATAATCCCTGTTAAACGCCTGCTGGGCCAGCTCACCCCTGCGGCAGGCACAGCTTGCATGTGTGTGTGTGTGTGTGTGTGTGTGTGTGTGTGTGTGTGTGTGTGTGTGCGCGCGCGCGCGCGTCTGTGTTCCTCCGTGGGGCAGTGCTGCCTTTCTGGACGCCCTTCCTGCTGTTGGAACAGTACACTTGGGGGCACTGAGCCTTTTGTGCAGGTTCAATGGGTCAGCGAACAGCTTGAGGCTCAGCCCTCTGTTCCCAGGGTTCACCCGCCTCCGCTTTTGAGTTCTGGCTCTTTTGTCACTCTGTGAAACAATAGTCAAGATGTTCGGGGACACCAGCAGGCTGAGGGTGACATCTGTCCCTCATCCTTTTCTGCATTGATGGGCTCAGATGAGGCAGGTGCCCCCTCTCTCTTGGTGCCAGGTGGCCCCTCTGAAGGAGCCAAAGGGGATGAGGGTCCTGACCATTGTGTCCCAGAGGATGCAGAGTGGGAGCCAAATGAAAACCAGCCCTAGCTACCCCAGCACAGCCACTCTGTGGACATTTGAAGATAAGCTGCTTAGCATGGGAGGTGATTTGTGTCTGTGATCTTAGCACTTGGGGGCAGGGTGGAGGCAGAAGGATGAGGAGTTCATAGTTATCCATGGATACATAGCAAGTTCCAGGCCAGCCTGGGCTACATGGGATTCCCCTATTCCAATAAATAAATAATAATAATAATAATAATAATAACTTTGCACCTAGATATTGTGTGTGTGCACTCCCGGGGGGGGGAAGAGGGGGAGAGACAGACAGAGAGAGAGAGAGAGAGAGAGAGAGAGAGAGAGAGAGAGAGAGAGAGAGAGAGAGAGAGAGAGAGAGAGAGAGAGAGAATAGAGACTCAGAGAGATAAAGTGACCCATTACAGGTCACACAGCATTTTAGCAATTTAGTTTGGAGTCAGGTTTCAAATCTGGATCTAGCATGTGTTTGTGACTGATGTGGTGTCACATGTCCCTTAAAAGAGGACATAATGAGTTACCCTGGGGGCATGAAAGCAGCTGCAGTAAACTGACCCCAGGTGGACATTAAACATGGGGACATCTATAAAGACTGTGAGCCCCTCTCATTCATCCCGTGTCTGCATTCAGAGCCCAAGAGGCACTACTGCCTGGAGTGGGGGCCAAGCACTCGAGTCTCCTCATCTGTAGGATGGGGATCCAGGTCTGTGTCCGGCTCGGCGCCCTTCTCCTGACTTTTGCTTTTGCGCCCCCTCCTCTGGCTCCAGGCACTCCCTTTTATGCTCTGTCCTCTGCTCCGGTCGCTCCCTGCAGGTCTCTGAACACCTCCACTCAGCTTTATGTCCCCAGGGTCTTCCAGAGCTTAGATCATCAGAGCCTCCATTTGGACCAGTGTTTGGGGCCGGTGGCTCTTGTGCGGCTGCGCAGTATGAGCGGCAGAAAGAGCAGCACCTGGGACCTCACTGTGGCGGCTCTTCACTGTCACAGGAACCCTGTGCATGTCTTGGGTGACATGAATGTGCTGTGCAGTCAAGCGCCATGCCGCTCAGAAGGTGGTGATGGGAGGGCTGGTGGGCAGTCCTGTCGCCTCACCTAATAGCCGTAGTGGGGTTGCCGTCACCCTCATACTGTGGACGGGGAGACTGAGAAAGGAAGACTTCAAGTTCTAGAGGAGGCTGAGTTCGAGGCCAGCCTGGGCTACATGGCAGGACCCTGTCTCAAAAAAAAAAAAAAAAGACAAATTCAAAGCACACAGTACTGATAGACTTGCTTTGGTTCCATGGTTCTTGCATAGAAGCCTTAGGGTAAAGTCTGTGCCCTTCCCTTCCCACCTCTCTCTGAGGAGGGTTGTGCTGATGTTGCAGTGTGGCTGGCCCTGGAATGGCTCTCCAGTATGTCTATGGTGTATACCCACTCCTCATTCCTGTCTCGCTCTCTCTGTTTGTGATAGCTGGAGGCCTGTCTGTTCATATGCACATGGCTGCCGTGTCTCAGTGGAACCTGGGGACGAAGCCAGTTTTCATCTCCGGCATGATGTGAGCGGTAGAGGCAGCCTTACCAAGTTGGCTCTGTCTCGACACTCTGGGGACCGAGCCTTCCGAATCTCAAGGTAGGATAGACCTATGTCTTCTGGGTGCTAGCCCTTCTGGGTGCTAGCCCTTTGTCAAACCTTCCATAAGGGGCTCCTGGTTTTGGCTTTTGGTATGTGGGGCAGAGCCATGAGTCAGGTCTGCAATCCACACAACCTTTGACCATGAACTTCTCAGCTCCAGCTCTTTTGCATTGTATGAATATCTTTTGTAGAAAATAGTGCCATAGAGGTGTAATTAGCTTGTTTTAAAAAAAATTAGGTGCATGCCTTTAATCCCAGCACTCGGGAGGCAGAGGCAGGCAGATCTTTGTGAGTTTGAGGCCAGCTTGGTCTACAAGAGCTAGTTGCAGGACAGTCTCCAAGGCCACAGAGAAACCTTGTCTCAACCCCCCCCCAATTAGTGTACAAAGTAATGGGTTTGGGGCAGGTAGTGTGTTCACCCACTATTCACAAAGCCCTAGTTTGAGCCCCAGGCACAGCATGAACTAGGTGTGGTGGCACAAGCCTGTAACCCCAGTGCTTGGGAGGTGGACATTGGAGGATCAGAAGTTCAGAGTTAACTCTTGCTGCATAGCAAGTTTGAAGCCAGCCTGGGCTACTTGAGAGTCTAAGAAATCAAACAGGGGCTGGAGAGATGGCTCAGTGATTAAGAGCACTGGCTGTTCTTCCAGAGGATCTTGGTTTGATTTGAAGCACCCATATGGTGGTTCATATCTGTGTGTAACTCCAGTTTCAGGGGGATCTGACCCCCTCTTCTAGTCTTCTTAGATACTGCACACACACACACACACACACACACACACACACACACACACACACACACACCACCCCGTACAACAGGCTTGTGCAGCTCAGTCTTCCCCGTCGCAGTAGCTCAGCCCTCTCTGGTACAGTTTTTATCATGGTGCAGCACCTCTATTTCCAGGGTGCAGCACCGTTGTGTGATGTTTTACTCTTTTGTCTTTTTGAGGGGTCCACCACCCAGATCCCAAGTCACTCACACATGGAGGCTTATTCCTAGTTATGGATGCTCAGCCTTAGCTTGGCTTAGTTCTTGCCAGCTTTTCTTAACTTATATTATCCCATCTGTCTTTGGCCTTGAGGCTCTCATCTTTCTCTATTACAGCATACCTTTTCTTTCCTTCTCACTCCATGTCTGGCTCTGTGTCTGGGTGTCTGGGTGTCTGGGTGTCTGGGTGTCTGGGTGTCTGGGTGTCTGGGTGTCTGGCTCTGTGTCTGGGTGTCTGGGTGTCTGGCTCTGTGGCTGGGTGTCTGGGTGTCTGGGTGTCTGGCTCTGTGGCTGGGTGTCTGGGTGTCTGGCTCTGTGTCTGGGTGTCTGGGTGTCTGGCTCTGTGTCTGGGTGTCTGGGTGTCTGGGTGTCTTGCCTCTGAAGTCCTTCTCCTTCCTCTCATTCTTAGATCCTCTTTTTCTCCCAGAGTTCTCCTCATCGTTAACCTCTCTGCCTGCCAGCCCCTCCTAACCTTGCTCCTGCCTGGCTATTGGCTGTTCATTTCTTTATTAAACCATCAGGTGTTTTAGACAGGCAAAGAACCACAACTTCACATAGTTAAACAAATGCAGCATAAACAAAAGCCACACATCTTTACATCACTTTTTTTTTTTGGTTTTTCGAGACAGGATTTTTCTGTGGCTTTGGAATCTGTCCTGAAACTCCACCTTGTAGACCAGGCTGGTCTTGAACTCACAGAGATCTGCCTGCCTCTGCCTCCCAAGTGCTGGATTTAAAAGCGTGTGCCACCACTGCCCTGCTCACATCTTTACATCATTAAACAAATGTTCCACAGCATAAGCAGAAGTAACACACTTTAAAATAATTCTCTACAACACAGCCAAAAGATTTTATTTTACTTTTTTAATTTTTGGTTTTTCGAGACTATGTAGCCCTTGTAGACCAGGCTGACCTCGAATTCACAGAGATTCTCCTGCCTCTGTCTCCCAAGTGTTGGGATGAAAGGTGTGCGTCAGCACCACCCGACTTCGAAGCCAAGAGATTTTGATTACACTTACCAAGTCCTGCAGCTATGTTTAGCGACACTGTCACATGTCCATTGCCCTAGAGAGATCCTCCATACCTGGGAATCCATTCCTATTCCACACTCAGCCATGGCGAGCAATAAGCTACTTTCTGTTGCTCCAATTTCCCTTCTATGGGCATTCTGTATAAATTTAGCTGCATCACTATATTTTTAATTTGAGAGAGGGGGGAGAGGGAGAGGAGAGAGAGAGGAGAGAGGAGAGAGAGCATCTTTTTTATATTTTATTTTTAAATTTAAATTTAAACTAGAAACAAGGTTGCTTCACATGTCAATTCCAGGTCCCTCTCCCTTTCCCTCCCCCCCTCCTGCGCCCTCCCACCAACCCCCCAATATCCCCTCATTTCCCCAGGGAGGGTGAGGCCCTCCATGGGGGTGTCTATAGTCTGTCATTTAATCTAGGTCAGGGCCTAGACCCTCCCCCAAGAGTTCAGGGTGAGAGTGCATCTCACATTGTTGGATGGGAGTCCAAAGTCCATTTGTATACCTGGGATAAATACTGATCTACTGCCCAAGGCTCAATAGATTACCTAGGCCTCCTCACCTCACTGACACCCACATTCAGGGGGTCTTGATCAATCCCATGCTGGATTCCCAGGCATCAGTCTGGGATTCAAGAGCTAACCCTTGTCAGGTCAGCTGTTTCTGGGGGTTAAACCAACCCAATCTTAACCCCTTTGGTCATCAGTCCTCCCTCTCTGTCACTGGATTTCTTGAGTTCAGCTCAGTGCTTAGCCGTGGGAGTCTGCCTCTGCTTCCATCAGCAACGAATGAAGGTTCTGTTTCTCAGACTCTCTGGCCATGGGATTGTAGGCTGGGAGAGAGAGCATCTTATTACTCATTCTAGGCTGGTCTTGAACTCATACTCCTCTGGGATTCAGGAGGGTACTACCACATGCAGCTTGGACTTGTCTTTCCTTAGCAGGGCCTGTGTGGTTTGTCCATGGTGTGCCAATAACCAGCTATTTTTCTCTGCCCAGTTGATCCCACTGTGTGGCTATACATCTCATCTGTTCATTAGGGATTTAATCTTGACCCACGCTTCCTAACTGGGGTGTGTCCTCTTTGGGGTTATATGATACCTGAGTATAAAGGCAGCCTATGTTTCTGAATTATTCTCAAGGTTGAGGGGCTGTGGTCTGTATTCCTGATCAATAAAATCCCTGACTAAGCTTCCAGAATAACAATTCAGAGTCACACATTACACTTGTGGGATTGGAGAGCCACGCCTTATCCTGATTTGTCTGACTCCTAAGCCCATGGCTTCCCTTCTATGCTACGAGACCCAGTCAGCCTGACTCAGGAGCTAGGGTTCCATGGAAACCTCCACTGTCCCCACAATTTGCCAGGATCCTGGGTCCTCACCTTGTGACAGGGTCACTGTGGTTTAATTTGTAGAGTTCCTGCTGGTTTCCAGATCACAGAAGAGAGGATGGAATTGGGAAGGGTCGTGTCCACCCTGCAAAGCAAGTCCTTACAGATAAGTATTCCTTTACCATCCCACTGTGCGCCAGTGTGCTTTCTGCTGGTGCATGTGTGAAGGAGGGGCGGTCCTGGAACCCCCAAGAGGGAGGGCGGATGTCCTGTGTATGCCTCCGGCCCTTGAGGATGACATTTGTAAAATTGGACAACTCCTTGGTCTTATAGACACGTGGAAACCTCTGTAGGGTTTCCCACGGGACACATTGTCTCCGTGACAGCAGGCTCTGAGAGACACCTCCTTTTCCCTGGCTCAGGCGCTGGAGGACAGATGTAGTAGAATTGTCAGGAAAGAGCAAATCTGAGTCCTGGGTTGAGATTTAGGGCATGCCCTCCACCCTGGTGACTTACAGTAGCCTGGATGAGCCCTGCACCACCCTCTGGCTCCAGATGTGTTCTTTGCTGTGGGAGCCACGAAAGGGTGGGGGCTAAGGTGGGCAGAAGGGCTGCTTTCATTTCCCAGCCGCTGCCTTGGTGGCTGCTAGAGTGCCCTTGTGACAGGGCAGGATGTGTCCCAGGGTCCAGAGAGAGGCACAGGGTTCCAGCAACTGAGGCAGTGCTGAGTTCCAGATCCCTGCTCTAGTCAGGACTCCCCCTCTGCTGTCCCCAAAGCTGCCCAGATTGCTCTGAGTTTTCCTGGAACACAAAGGAAACCACACTGTGCCCCTGTCTGTGAAGGATGCTCTGGGTGTCAGGGGAGGAGGAGGCAGGTGGCTCTTGGGCAAAGCAGGGCTTTGGTGTGGTCCTCTCCTGTGCCGGGCTTGGCTCTTCTATCTTCCAGAGTCATCCTGTGATGTCTGCGTGGGAGAGGAGCTAGGAGCTAGGCCTGTGATGATGCCAATGATGTCAGGTAAGAGAGAGAGGCATGGTTCCTTTTTAGGAGGGTGGCCAGAGCCCGTCTGCCTCTGAGGAGGCCTGGGAGGCAGAAGCAGAAGGTTTGCTGTGCATGGCCTCAGTGGGGAGTGGAGGCAGGAATGCTATGAATCTCAGAGTGGAGGCTCTTGCCGGGGGTGGTGTCATCATCTCACATAGGTAAGAACCTGGCCTTCCTTAAGGTGATGCCGCCTGTCCGGAGGCGAACGACAGAGACATGGTCCTACCCCCTGAGGTCTTCAAGTAAGAAAGCGTGTTACCACAGCCCAGCGAGGGGGTGAGCTCTCTGTTATGTGGAGTGTATGTGTCCATGTCTGGGGTGGGTGTACCTAGGGTCTCATCTCAGACTGGTGGGGACTCTGGAGGTCTCTCTCTCTCCCCTACTGCACTGGGTTGCTTCTCTGCCCCTGGCCTTCGGGAGTCACTCTGGGTCACCTGCCATTGGCTTTCTCTGCTGATCCCTTGGGTGAACCCCCTCTCTAAGTTTATCGTGAAACCTTTGTGTCCCAAGCTCTCCCTTCTGCTCCGGGTGTATGTGGTATGTGTGTGAGTGTGTACATGTGTGTGGTGTATGTGTGTGTGTGTGTGTGTGTGTGTGTGTGTGTGTGTTGGGAGCACAGGTCGCAGATTGGGTTATCTGGGGTATCTCACCTTCCTTCATTGTGCCCTTCAGATAGCCCTGCATGTCTTCAGACACTGGTCTGGTTTGGAGCCCTGGGGATTCCCTGAATTCTGACTTCACGGAACTGGGCAACAACCTGTCTCCATGAAGGCCCTGTCCTTGCCAATGCCAGCGATGGAGTCTGCTGGAGAAGAGCCATTCCTGGAAGATGTACTGCTTACTATCCACACTGCCTTTGATGGACAGATCCAGCCTGGGAGAGGCTTCAGTTTAGAGCCCTGGGGGCGGGTACTGGAGGCCCCTCCTGATCCCATGTGGACTGGAATCCTCCTCCAGTGTAGGAGGTGGGGTGGAGCTGAGCCCCTTCGTAAGGACCTGTGGGTAGGGCAGGGGCTCCATGGGCATGGAGGAGGAGCTGCTGGGGAGGAGCCTGATGTCTGTCTTTTGTCTGTTTGCTGCTTGAGCGATGGTTCTGTTTGGGTGCTCCCTGGATGAGGCTTAAGTTCCTCGCTGATAGTGGTGAGAGGATAGCCAGTCCTGGCCTGGGAGGAGCCTGGCTGGCTCATGTGCTGTCCAGCACAGAAGAGGAGCCTGGGAAGAGAAAGGGGGAGTCCCGAGATGAGGAGGCCAAGTAAGGAGACATACTGGCAGACTCACAGCTTCCTCAGCCACTAGAGAGTGGGTTACACCCAGTCTGCAAGGGCTACAGAGCCCGTGCCCAGTACACAGGGCTGCTGAACCAGCGCCCCGTCGGTGTTGAGTAGCTGCCCAGAGACTGAGGCTGGCAGATACCCACACCCCTGCTCAGGGTGAAGTGCCCCAGTGTGAATGTCCCTGTCCCTTCTGTCACCTCTGGTGACGACAGTCCATCTTGGAGGAGATGGTTCTACAGTGTGTGACCTTCTCTGGGACAGCCCAGAGAGCCTTCTCCCCGGGACGGGAGAGGCTGTGTGTTTACTATTAGCTCAGGCTGTGGGGTTTAGCACTAGAGGCCCACGCCTCAGGCTTGAGGCCAGCAGAGCAAGATCAAGGGATCAGAAGTAGCTCCATGTCCTTGTGTGGCCTTTCTGTGTCCAGAGTGAGTGGGCTCCAGGGATTTGTCCCATAAGGGCACAGTCTTGTCACCTGGGAACCCAGGCTTACGACCTTGTCTGAGCTTAGGCATACTGTTGATGGTCTTGTCACTCCACACCTTCACATAGGGGCTGGGGAATTCAGTCTGTGTCTCTTCGGGGACACAGTCTGGACTCTTAATAGGGTGGCTCCACAAACTTGAGTAACGAGCCACCCCTCCTCCAGAGTTCCCCATGTAGGGAGGAGCACAGGACTGCAAGAGTGGGTGCAGGTGCTGTGCCAGGGAACACGGGACATGTGTCTGGGAACACAGTGGCTGCAGCCAGTGCAGAACCATCTCAGGTCTTGGGGCACCCTCTGCTCTACACGTCACCTTGCCTTGATTTCCACTTTGTCATCTGGGCTATATGCTCTTCCGGTGGCTCTGCCAGGCTGTGCCTGCCTGGCTCAGTACTGGGCTCTTAGGAGGTGCTTCATGCAGTTAACTCCATGTGGCAATTTAGGGAGGTTTAGGTTGAGCACACATCTGGGTAGGTAGGGTGCTTTCTAATCCAGAGGTGTTCCTGGATGGCCACCACCGTCTGCCTTCCTGACAAGCCTGGGGCTTCGGCTGTCCTTGGTCTCTGTTGTAGCTTGCCCTGTTTTCCATAAGGGAAGGAACCTTGTTTCCTGCTGCCAATATGGAACCCACTCTGTCTCTTTGCTGTGAGCTAGGGTGGGAACCTGGTGCTGTCCAGTAATGCTTCAGACACTTGGAATTTCCTAGTCAGAGGGGAGAGAAACTACCCATGGAGAAGTAGACAGTGGGCAGTCAACAGATATCCCCAGTGGGAGGGAGACCCCAGCTCTGGCACTCTGGAGGGACTTCCGAGCCAGGCTGACCCAACCAGGGTCTTGGAGGATGAGAAAGGTATGGTTTAACCGAGTGCTTTTGGGAAGAAATTAGAGCAAAAAGCAAGGCCTCTCAGGACCCTGAAAACACTAGTGAGCACGCTTCTGATACTCCGGGCGGGACAGAAGGACGAAGCGTTTCCTGTCTTTGTTGGCTATAGAGTTATTTTCGTGCCAAACACTGTAGAATGGTCATTAAGAGTGCCGAGAGTGATAGGTGGTGTCACTAGGGCATACTCAGATGGCTTGGGGTTGCCTGGAAAGGAAGGGAAACAGGATGGGCAGGGGTGAGTGGGGTCTAAGCTTCGCTTTAGGACTGAGACTGGTTCCTTGCAGTGTTTGTAGAGGAAGGCAGGCCAGGCCAGTGATGGGAACAGCCAGAGGCCTGGGCGTTGGTGGTAGAAGAGATGTCCATTTCCAAGCATGGTGACTCTGGGGTGAGGTGGGGGGGGTTAGATGTTTTGTAGAAAGATGCTGGTGTGTGTGTGTGTGTGCACTAGCGGTTGTGTCTGTGTACATATGAGTGTGAGAAGATCTTTCTGGGAAGGGGCTGACCACAGTCAGGCAGGGGGGTCTGCACTGAGGACAAGCAGGGAGCATTTTCAGCAGAGCCCGAGTGTTTATGGGGGCTCTGAGACCCACAGCAGAGAAATGGAAGCTCTGGGCTTCTAGCAGGGGTCACTGGGATGAGGTTTGATTCCTGGGGAGGAGGTGTTAAGGGGTATAGAGGCAGACCCCCTGCCTTGGTCAGGCCCCAAGCCCAGGCTGGTGGGGACAGGAGGTCTGTGGTAGGTGGTGGGGTGGATGGAAGGGGAAGGCTGCATGGTGTGATTAACCTACTAACCAACCCAGGGCTCGGCCAGGACTCCATGGCACGCAACGAGATGCCTGGCCTTCTGTCGATTGACTAATCCACTAACCTGGCCCGAGCATGTCCTACTAACCCTGCGGCAGCCAAACCTTACTAACTCTGCAGTCCAAGGGCCTTCCCAGAGGCTGGAGCAGACGAGGCTCCAGAAGGCCCTGCCTGGGGCCTGGGGTCTCTGTGCAGACCCATCCTGCAGGGCAGGGCACACTAAGAGACTCACCAACTCTGCCACTTGCTGCTGGGGGATGGGGGGGACTGTGTGCCAGTCACCTGTCCTCTCTGAGCTGCTCTCCTCCACGGTGGAATGGAATCCTTCTCCTCCCCTCAATGCCTGCAACAAAGGTGTTGCTGCCCAGCAGGGATTTCAAAATAGAAAAAGACAGGGCGAGGGCAGGCTGCAGGGAACTCGGTGATATGTCTGTCCGTCCCCTGATCTCAGGTGTTCTGCACACAGACCCTTCTGCCCGGGGCAGACACGTGCCTTGAACCCCCTAACCGTCTCTTCCCATTCTCCCCCTCTTGCCAGCTTTCTCTCCCATAGGCAAGCTCTTTTGATTACTAATTGTCTAACCCTGGGGCACCCTACCTGCATCCTGCCGCCCCTTAACTAACTAATGGTCCTGCTGCCTTCTTCTTTCCTAGTGGCTCCTGTGTATGTCTGCTGAGGTGCCCTCTCTGCTGGTGCTGTGCTGACCTACTAACCTGGCCCTACTAACCGGTTTCTCTAACTAATCCAGCCCTGCCGAGCTCTGGGCCTCCTGGGGGCTGGTCCCTCCTTCTGGCAAACAGATGTCCTCAGGCTGACCAGGCCAGGTCTGGGGCATGGGACAACCTTATTAGTGATGCCCAGAGGAGGGGGAGGAGGCTGTCCTGTGGACATGGGACACTGGGCTCCGAGCATGACCTCTCTCCTCTGTGCACAGGTCTGGTTGCCACCAGGAGTGGATGGGACCAGGGGATCCTGTGGGAGCCAATGTGGGGCCTGTGGGTCTAGAGTGGGCAATTCTGGGCCCTACTTAGCTTAAGCCCTCTGTGATTTAGGCCAGGGAGAAAGGGGTAGGAATCCCAGGGGCTCTCCATCTTGCACAGGAGCTCATGGGTATGTGTCTGAGCCTGAAGCCAACGGAGAGCCGCGCCCTACGGGGAAGCTGTAAGTGAGAGTTTCCTAAGTAGGAAGTGTTTGAGGAGGCCTTTCCCTGAAAAAGCCACAGAACAATGTCAGGCATTTCCCAAGTGAAGCCTGAAAAGGCGGCGGCATCTGGACACTGGGCGTCTGTGAGAGGAGAGATGGCCAGTGCCCAGGGGGAAAGTTCTTCACATAAGCAGTCAGCTAGAGTGGCCTTCAGTGACAGGGGTGGGAACCTCAATCTGGAAGTAGAGGCAGGGCCATTTTCACACAGGAAGAAGGCGTGAGGATATTTTCCCTCAGGAAGTGTTTGGAAAGACTCACCCCACACTTAGGAAGGACAGACTGCTGGTTGCCATGGTGCACAGGTGTGGTGCCTCTACAGGCCGCTGGGGCTTATGGGAAGGGGAAACAGGTGCTGGGAAATGAATCCTAGGGGTCCAAAAGCCACTGGGGAAGTCATACCAGCTGTTTATGTTTTGTTCTGTTTATGCTCATGCCTCTGCCCCAGCCAGCCTCCCCCAGAGCCCGCCAGCTGCTAAGCCAGGGCCACACCTGGGGGTGATTTCATGCCTCACCTCCAGTAGGCTCGTGGCCTGTCTGGGCTAACCTCTGGCTCCTTCGCACTAACTTTAGCTCTTACCCAGCTAATCCCTGCCTCTCCATGGCTGCCCCAGGGGCTGACCACTAACAGCCAGCCTTGCCTATCGAGGGTGGGGTGTGAGGGAAGTGGGGGGGGTGTCCAGGTTCCTGACCTGGCTTTGGCTGGCTCCTTTGAACTACCCCTGTCTCTGGACTAATCCATGCCTTTCTGGTCTGTTCCTTTTGGCAGAGATGAATGGCTGTGGCTTTCTCTCTAACAGGTCTCATCTTCCTCTCACTGGCACCACTAGCGGCTTGGATGGCAGCATGGCCGGGAAGGGGCTGACACAGGCTCTGCGCTTGGTTGATATGGGGAGAATGTAGCTAGTGAGCGTAGATCCTTTGACTGCTCTGGGTCGGAGATTCCAAATGTCAGTCAAGGTGGTACCTGGGCTGGGGTGTGGCTTAGGCCAGAAGGAAGGATCCTGGCATCTACTGAGCATCTTGGTGGGGGTCAAATGTACAGTCAGCATTCTAGTGGCCTGGCCACTGGCCCAATCCCATGATCTGCAGTGAGTGTTAGCTCTTGGAAAATACAACCCCAGTCTTTGTAAACAGAAGCAGCTCAAACAGGAACCTAAGACATCTGTCTGATTTCTTCAAAGGATTTGTTATTTACAGAATCACTGGACATGGGGCCAGGGCCTGCTTTGAGTCCTTCTTTGAGAGACTCACAGAGGTTTTGTCCCTACATCAAGCTCCAGATAGAAATATCCGCAAGGGCTGCAAATTTTCCAGCTACACACCCTAAAGTGTGACAGCTCATCCTCTCCCTCTAACTCTTCTAATGCTCTTTTACACAGAGTAGGTGCACTGAGGGTAGGGGGCGTGGCTGGCAAGGATTTGGGGAGCAGAGACAGGAAGTCATGAGGCCAGGGGGCCCTTGTGGAGTGTGGCGGGGTGACGCCAGGTTGAGGTGGGCAAGCGTCTTGTTTCACTGGGTTGATCTGGATGTCAGAGCCTAGAATATTGGAGGCTCAGTGTCGCTGGGCCTGTGGGTGGCCTCAGGGACAGGTAGCCTGTGCCAACAAGTGCTGTGACAGCTGCTTTCCCATGGGCCTAGGACTGAGTGTGTTGAGCCACCGGGGAGCTGGTAGGACATGGGTTGGCATACAAGACAGGGCTGGGATACACCACTGCTGCCCTCTCCTGGCCGCTGCACTTCATCTTACCCACAATGCCCAGGAACTCCTGCAGCAGAGGCTGCCCTGCTGAGGACCTATGCTGCTTCAGGCTCTGCTACAGATGCAGCCTTGTCATAAAAAAAAAATGACAGGGTCCCCATATGGGATGCTAACTGGCATCCAGTTCTGTGTGGTGAGCCAGGACAGGGTCAGGGATCAGGAGAGCTAGGGTAAGGCAGGCAGGGGGAGGGCTCTCAGAAGAGGGGTCATACCAGCTAAATCTTGGTAAGCAGGGCATGGCTGGATACAAGCCCCACGAAGCTCAAGATCAGAGAGGATCCAAACAGATTCTGGGGGAACCCTGGGGGAGTGTATTAAGTGAGGGGCTCAGGATGTGACAAGTCCCAGGCCTTGTTGGCAGCAAACACAGGCTTCATCCCCATGGGATGCCAGATGTGGTCTGCACTTGTAATTCCAGTGCTAGGGCGTTAGGGACAGATCTGTGTGGTCCGCTGGCCTGTCAGCCTAGCTCATCATATAGTCTGAGCGCATGGCAGGGCTGGAGTTTCAAGCTGGTTTGCTTCAGCCCAGCATGGAGGAGCTTGCCATGTGTGCCAGTCATGTTCTAGACAGCGCCAGTGCTTCTGGTTACTAGGAGGACCCTTTGGTCCAACTGGAGAGGAGCAGGGTTCATCATGCCCACCCTTAGCCCTCTGTGAGGTTCATGGGAGACACCTGGAAAGCAAGGAACAGAGGTGACAGGAAGCTAAAACTTAACACAGGCCCCAATGGTGTACGCCTCCTCCAGGTGATCTGGAGGTAGGTGATGGTGATGTGTGTGTATGTGTGTTTGTGTGTGTGTGTGTGCACACGCCTGTGTGCCTGTGTGCATGGGTGTTTGTGCATGCATGAGAGGGTTAGGGGAGAAAAGAGAGTATGACTAGAGGAAACCGAGCCACGGAAGGCACATTATTTGTCCCTGGACTGCTCCTGCGCCCCCCCCCCGCCCCATTCCACTGAACTTTAGGCTTGTTTCGAGAAGGACCCTGCAGGCGGCAGACCAGCCTCCTGTCTGGAGGTGTTGGTACCTCTTCACAGTCGGCCTGGAGGGAGGAACCACCAGGTGGGGCTGGTCCAGTGAGGACAGCCTGAAGATGCTCAGTTTGGGACCCCTGGTGTAGCCCTCAGGGTTCCCCAGGAGCCTCTCTGGAATCTTTCCAGGGGCCATTGTTTTATAACCAGCCTAGCAAAGATGTCGGTTCTGAGTTGTCCTGCTGGGAGATGCTGAGTGTGAGTCCCAGAAGCCTGATGTAGATTCAAGACCAGATCTTCCGTGGGTTCAACCACAGTTCCGTTTGCTCTTCATGATTGTAGCTGCTTCTGTGTAAGATGCCATTTGATATTAAAGCCGGCACACGCTAAAGAGTGACTGGGTTGTAAGGTGGAGGGATGCGTCTGGTGCTTGAGTAAGGGGCAAGCGGCGGGACTTCCGAGGCTGGGTGAGCAGAGCTGCCGAGTCAGCTGAATAAAAGAATCACTCATTTTTATATAATTAAAATATTTGGGGCCAGTATGGTGGCACGCCTTCAATCTCAGCACGTGGGAGGCAGAGGCAGGTGGATCTCTTGAGTTTGAAGCCATCCTGTTCAATGGAGTGAGTTTGAGGCCAGCCTGGTCTACAGAGGGAGTAGCCAGGGCTGTTACACAGAGAAACCCTGTCTTGAAAAACTAAAATCAAAAGCAAACCAAACCAAAACACAAAAGCCACCTGGCTCAGCATGAGCAAGTGCTTGCTTTCTCTGCAAGCTTGGTGGTGAGTTTACTAAAACTCACAGTAGGAGAGAACAGCTTCCCAAAAGGTTGCCCTCTGACCTTTCTTTCCACATATGCAACCTTGGGTGTGGTTCACCCCCCACTCCCCCCCCCGCCTCTCTCAGTCTATAAAATAGAACTTTAAAACTTACAGGGCCGTGGAGACGGCTCAGCGGGTGAAGTGCTTGCTGGACAGATATGATGTGTGCTTGCAATCCCAGCACAGGGGAGGTAGGGCCAGACAGGCAGTCAGACTGCTGGAGTCCACTGACCAGCCAGCCTGGCCTAGCTGGTGAGCATCAGCCAGCGAGAAGCCCTGTCTCAAAACATAAGACGGAGGCATGACATTTGAGGTTGACTTCTGGCATGTACACACCCTAAACACCACACTTGCTTGCTTTCACTAATGGCGTTTGGAACGAGAGGTTCTTTGTCCCAGCTGGCCCCGCCACCCTTCAGCCCCAAATGAACACACAGACGCTATGTTAGTTATAAAACTGTCGGCTGGTGGCTTGGGCTTCTTATTGGCTAGCTATGTCTTAATTATTTACCCATTTCTATTAATCTGTGTATTTCCACATTGTCTTGGCTTACCGGATGGCACGTCCTCTCTTCCGGGCTCTCCATGATAACTCCTCTGGCAGGTTTTCTCTGCCTCCCTTTCCCAGAATTCTCCTTCCCTGGCCCCACCTATCTCCCTGCCTCACAGGCTGAACCGTGTTTTATTCATTAACCAATAAGAGATACATATATACAGGACAACCCCCATCAGGCCTTTCTCTGCAGGACGAGGCCCTCTTCCGCCTGGTGCACAAGGCCCTCCCCTCACCATTGAAGACGATCTGCTTGAGAAATCCACCCGCAGTCATTGCTTTTTTTCCCCTCAGAGTGACAAAATGCCTGGCAGATTCAGTCTGTCACCTGTTGGGTCCTTGGGCAGAACATCCTGGTGGCCAGCGTGTGTGATGAGGTCTTTACCTCATGGCGGACAGGAAGCGGAGCAGGACAGCTACAGGAAGGGGCAAGGCTGGGCACCGTTCAAGACGCCACCAGGCAGGAAGTGAGGTCCCGGAGTCTCAATAGAGTGTTCACACCATGCGTTCACACCGGTGTTCACACCGCGTGTCCCGTGGGAGCCCCCACGGGCTTTCAGTCTTGGCAGGCGGGATCCCGCCCACTGGGTCTCTGATGTGAGGGTCAGCTTTGTCAACGAGACAGTGTGGAGTCAGTCACCTGGGTCTCACCGAGGGGTTGTCTAGGTCGGGTGGCCGGTGGGGGAACCTGGGGTGACTCTCCCAGTTCCCTTAACAGCAGTGCTGGTGGCACTGCTCCCTGCCTTTGGAGCCTGAACTGAGTGAGAAATACGGACATAATAGTCGTGCCCCCACTGACCACTCCCTGCTTGTGACTGTGGGTCACGTGACCTGCTCCTTCTAGCTTCTTCCCTGTAATGATGGGATGTAACCGTACGAGAAACAACCTTTTTTTTCCTCTCAGGTTGTTTTCTGTCGGGGTATTTTGTCACAGCAACAGAAGGAAACTAAGACAGATGTTTGGGTCCCATGTCTCCATCCTACTCGGCACTGCCACATGCTTGGGACTCAACCATCCATCTTCTTACAGACCTCACACACGTGGCTGACTGCTGGCCTATGTTAACCGGGGGGGGGCTCACAGGACATAGGCCAGGCCTGTGTGGGGCAGCACGGGGTGCTTAGGGCGGGGTGCTTAGGGTGGGGCGGGGTGCTTTAAATGAGATGTTGTTGAGAAACTGACTCAGGGCAACAGTAATAAAAGCCCCCTCACACATAAACGTAAAGCCACGCCTCATGAAAGTAACTGTTATCCAAAGTACGGCATGGTCGGTGGGGAGATGGTCAGTGTCTCTGGGGTTCTCTTCATCGGGTGGCCTGTTGGGAAGTCTCTGGTCTCTGACCCTGTTCCAGTGTTAGACGCTGGGTGCATAGTCTCTAGAAGAGACTTCAGTTCATACAAGTGGCCTGCTTCAGCTTGGAGAGATGGCTCAGGGGTTAAGAGATCTTTCTGCCCTTCCAGAGGTCCAGAGTTCAATTCCCAGCAACCATGTGGTTCACAATCATCTGTAATGAGATCTGGTGCCCTCTTCTGGTCCGCATGTGTACATGCAGGCGGAACACTATGCATAATAAATAAACAAATCTTTAAAAAAAAGAAGTGGCCAGCAGATGGCAGCATCACACCAAAGCCTCTGCATCCCTTTTTCCTGGGTTTGGGCTGGATTTTCTCCAGCCAGTGGCTTTTGGTGCTGCTCTAATGGGGGCAACTGTGGGGTGCCAGCCAGGACTCAAGGGATCTGGGTAGGCCTGGATGAGGATCAAAGGGCCTGGAGTGAGTGCAGCTGAAGATGGAAACAACAGAAGCATCTTGACAGACACAAAGTGGGCAAGGGCTCTCCATGAACCTCAGGTTTTCCCTCTGTAAAATGGGTACACTGTTTCTAGGTCTCATGCTGCCAAACTGCTCTTGGTAAGGGTCATTTTATTTTAATAGTGCTGGTAACCCTCCCAACCTTCTCTCTGATGCTCAAAGATCCCAAGACCCCACTGATGCTGGGGCTGTGCCTGCAGCTAAGACTCTTTCCCGCCCCTGTGCCGCTCCTATCTTCTCTATTTCTTCTCTCTTTTGCCCTGGGACCAATCAAAGTTGGTTACTTGGGTCTTCGATTTCAGCCTCTCTCCCTGTGCCCTGTGCCGGTGCCCCTCAGTCACAGGCCAGTCCCGTCCCGATCACCACAGTATAGCTGGCAAGGATGCTGAGCCCTGCCTGAGTTCCTGCAGGATGCTTGTCCTGGGTTAGGGCTCTGTGCCACTCTGGATAAGTCATGCCCCCCGGCTGGCATGGAGCAGAGGGACCGAGGCATCTGCTTCACGGGGTGGTCCTGATTGAGTGGAGTGGGGGCAACTGGAGAGTCCTGCACTCGGGGAAGCCCGGACACAGGCGGCATCTCAGGCTGGGGGGCTGAGCCGTCTATAAAACGGAACTAAGCCATGTCCCCTGACAGAGGACATGAGGGTCAGAGGGCATCTGCATCTCACAGTCGGGGGATTGCCGGACCCTGCTTTTCTTTGGTCCTGGGAAGAATTTTTTTACTTGGCTAAAGAACCAAGCAGGACGGTGGGAGGACCTGCGGGTCACCAGATGGGTGCCAGGACCGCATCACCGAGCCAGCCAGAGTGGTGTCCTGGATTGTCTATCTCTGAACCTGCCCTGCTGTGATCATCTGTGAGGTCACAGTTATGTTAGTGGCCCAGTCCCTACTGGTGCCCATCAGCAGATGAACAGACCCACCTGTGCAAGGAACTCTACCTGGGCACAAATGCACCTGCCCAGGGGACAGAGATGCTGTTGTGTACCAGGGGACAGACTTCAGAGGTCTCCCCGGGGGAAGTATTCCTCCACAGAGATCTTGGAATTTGAGGAATGTACTGGAGTCCAGCAGGCCCAGAACATCAGGCCTTGGATGTGCAGGATGGCTTGGGCACTTTCCCAGCAACACAGGCTGCTTGTCTTATACCAGACGTTACCTTCTAGCTCAGGGGTCAGGCCTCAAGTGCCTCAAAACTTTCCCAGGCTCTCAGTTCCCGGGAGATTCTCACAGACTAGACTGATTTCACGCCCCCTCTCCCTGTGAACCAGCTCCCTGGGATCCTGGAACCAGCTCTGTGCTGAGCACTGAGGTGTTGGGAAAACTGCCAGAGACTCCTAGAGGCTAGCAAGATGTAGGGTCTAGCCTGGGCTCAAGAGCTGAGAAGTCCTTAGGCCTCTGGGAGTATAGCCTGGGATACCAGACCCTTGGTCCACCAAGCACCAGTTCTGAGGCACCTCCTTACCAATGTGCCAAAGAACCAAGGACAGCTATCTCTTGCTGAATCCCCTGAGACTATGAGCCACACTGTCCTTCTCTTTAAGCTGGCTAACTCAGGCATCGTGTTACAGTCTCAGAAAGCTGACAAATACAGACTTTAGGAGGTAGAGGACACAGATAGCGGGACCAACCGGGCCAAGTCCCACTGAGGGAATGGATCTGGTGAGAGAGGCCAGCGTACAAGAGGCTTTGGGTGTGGGGGCTGGGGTTCGGGGTGGGGGAGGGGGTGCTTAGTCATACAGAGCCCACTCAGGCTTCGCGAGGGTTGTTTGGCACTAAGAGTGTCTAGAAGTCACAGAGCGGTTGCAGACAACACCGCCAGTGAGTGTGTCAGGTCTCCAGCCTGCACAGTGGGAGTAGAGTAAGGAGCCCAGGAGAAACCTGCAGGGGACTCAGTGGGAGATGACAACCATGGCAGACATTCCCCACAGGTGTCACTGGGCTGAGCGACTCCCTTTCCTCAGAGTGTTCTGAGTGTGGTTGTCTGTCACCTTTGTTTTTCTTCCAGGCTTGTCCAGCCTTTGGCCACATGTGAGACTGTGATATTTTGGTAACTCAGTTGTACATTTCTCAAGTGTGAGTTTTGTGGATGACGATGCCAACGTCACAAAATCAAAAGGTTGGACCCACCTGCCTCTCCCTCCTCTCCTTTTCTCCCCTCCCCTTTCTTTTTTGTTTGTTTTGTTTTTGAGACAGGGTTTCTCTGT